TTCTGAATAATTACCTAAACAATTACCAATGGAAATCACAAATTTCTTTTAAGGGCTTGTCTCTTTTTTTCATCTAAATTACTCAAATATGCAAGATGATAACTGTCTTTTGGTTTAGTATTCTTGTTTGTATAGTGACCAGTTTATTAATGTCATGTGATAGGTTAGGAATAGTTGATGTAGAAAGACAGTTACCTTTTTTAGAAGGCTGTCTCCTTGCTTAGATATTTTGATACTTTAATGTTCTATGGGAGATTGGGGTGGAAGCATTAGCAGCATGAATGAAACATGAACAGAGTTTTGTAGTAGTATGCTGATTTTGAGATTAAGAACCTGAAGGAAATATATCTTAAATACTGCATTTTAATGAATTTCAGTTTTAAATATGATTATAGTTGGAAGATTAATTTTTCTATAATCAAAATGCTTTATTACATTTTGGAGGCTCTGCTCACTTCTGGAGGAGTGGAGGGGAAATTTAGGATTTGGTAACCTCAAAGTGCAAATTTTCACTAACTTTAGGACTGGAGACCTATTGTGGGAATACACATCCACATGTGCTGCCATTTCCTTATTAACTCTCCAGTGTGTGGCTTCTTGTGCGCAGGCGCTTGGTCTGTCTGGTGAAGGTGTGTCGGTGCATCTTGCCACAGTTTACTTTTAGCTGCTGATGTGCAGGGCCTTATCAGCACTGAGCCTGCTGGGCATACAGAAGCGCCGTCTTAGGTGTTTAATGCCCTGCGTTAGCAGGTTAATATTTTTAATGTGGTTGCTGCTGCTACAGTATGTAATAGTGTACAATATTTGTAAAATAATACAAATGTATGCTCTAATATGTATTTTTGTATTAATGAAAATTGGCTGTTAATGTTTTATATGTGTCCTTTATTTAATAATTGTGGGACTTCTAAGCAAATATTGTAAAAGGTAATTGTGAGAGGACTCTGCACAAAGCTCTAGGTCTATAAGTACTGTTGTTTCTGGAGGTGGCAGGTATGGATAGTGTCATTGAACCAAGAGCTAAATCCTTTATCTTAAATTTGAATTACTCTTTAAAAATCACTTCTGCATTTCTTTGGAGGAAGAACAGTGTAAATACAGTTATAAGATAAGTGAGTATTTAATGGGTATTTAAAAACAGTAGTAAGTGAAGAGAAATTGGGGTTTCACACAGAATTTAAAATCTCTATTGTCAAAAGGCAGTACAGTAGTGTAACTTCAGACCACAACAGAGCAATATATCAGAAACTAACTGAAAACTTGTCTGCTGATACTTTAACTTATGGTCATGCTTCAGAGCATGTTATGCACTTGCTCATTGCCTGTATTGCACCATTTTTTGACAGTTGTCCTTTTATTTGTGGAAGTGATAGTATCAATGGGGTACTGGTGGTCTTATCCCAATGTATGCTGATCCTGCAGAAACCGGGCTGGTGGGCTCCTGCCTGGTTTGCTTTCACATCTTCTCTTGCTAAACTTGGTGGAGTTGATGATGAAACAGACAAACCATAAAAGCATTCTGAAATATCCTGAGGGTTTTGTTGCGGGGGGTGGTCTAAGGAGTAGGTAGCATTTAAATTTTAATGTTGCTTCAGTTTAATTGTCAGTGCTCTTGTAAGCATGGAAACACATGACAAACATTGAAAAATAAACAGACCCCAGCCTATACTGTGTAGCAAAATTCCTAATTTATTATGTTTGAGAAAAACATTTTTGTTTGACCTACACCTCAGTGAAGTATATTAAAGCTCTGAGCCTGTAAGGCTTGTTTAAAATTAATATATAAAATTAGGAACTTTGTATAGTATCTGAGAATTGTCAGTTAGAGAACTACTGTGGAAAATATTTCAGCGCACGCAAAACACTTATTTGCATATGAAGTTGTGTGCAGATGAGCAGCCTGATTCCTTTTTGAAGTTCTCCCATTTCCATTTTGAAGAGGTGAAATAAATGTTGTGGAATCGGGACGTGGTGTGCCTGAGCAATCTTGTGCATCTAGGAAGTGTAACAGTAAAAGTACTGCTTGTACAGTAGTTCAGACTGTGCTGCTGGTACAGTTCTACCCTCATTTTGGTGAGGCCTACAATTCAGAGAGAAACGAAGAAGTGTTACTAGAAATAACCTACTTTGTCCAAAGGAGAGCATGAGGCCGAAATCCACAGTTTAATAGGCTATGGATGTAAGCTGCAAGCATTGAGTACTATGAGAGTGCTCGATAGAGTATCTGGGGGCTAGAAGCCTGGGATGTTACTCACCAGTTGAGTCTTGCTTGCTACCCCTTGTATTTCCTGTCCTACTTTTAAAGCTTTGCTCTGCCAGTAACAGATAATGTTGGTCCTTTTTTTTTCTCCCTGAAAGTTGTACATTCTGGAAAGCCTCATTCCAAACTTCAATTTGAGAAAAGGAATAAAATAGCATACTTTCTGAAAGAAACTGTCTTGATTTGAATTTATTTTGCTGAATCATCACATAAGATTTGGCAGTTGTAATCCTCTCCCTGTCTCCATCTTTTTTTGCAAAGTGCTTTCATGGTTTAAAGAACATCGACAACTTGACAGTCTCATATCCTTGTCTGCAACCTTTAATCTAGCCTTAATTGTTTTGTAGAATAAATAGTTTATTTCTAGAGTTACCATGCTAATTTCTACAGTTGTGCAAAGAGAACATAAAATTGCTTTCCACATCATGAGTGCCCTATTGGGTAACAGAAAAGGAAGATGTATGTACTATGCTGAAGGCAGTTTCAGTATTGCTACGGTGGAATAGTTTTTAAACCATATAGATACATGGAAATTGTGTTAAGCCTCAAAGTGGTGCATACCCCCAATTTTTCAGTAGTTGTATTGCATGGAAGAGATCCACACTTGGCCAGATCAGACAGCACAAGCTTTATACAAGTTCAGTGTTCTGCTGGGGACGAGAGTAGACCCATCTATTCAGGAAACAAGGCAGCACTACAGATGGGTTGGACGTGATTTTAGCTTGCACATGCACAACATCTCTGCAGCCCAGCACTCTGGTCAGGCAGCGTGACCATATTGTGCTGCTTTGGAGCAGATGTCCCCAGCTGTGATGAGGGTTGTAGCTGATACGTAGTTGCACTTGAGGTACAGGTTAGTCCTTCACCACCTGGTTGGCAATTACAGAAAAAAGTTTCTGAAGGTTTATCTCCCCTTAATCAGATTGTAACAGCTATATAGTAGGTAACTTGTGTTGCTGCTGAGACTTTTCAGGCTGCCTCTATAAAGAGATCATTATATATTCCATATAGTTACTGAAAGTACTGAGCTGATACTAAGCTTAGTGCAGAAAAATATGAAAAGCTTACAGAACGAGTACTACATTTTTTCATAAATTACTGTGAGTGAAATGTAAATAAAATTGTGTTTTGTAGTCTTCTCTCATACGTGGAAGTGGTGAACTCTGTGAATTGTGGCGCTATGACCAAGTTGTTAAATGCTTGTGTCTATGAATATAATTAGGATCTCTGAGCTATATGCTGTATATTATCCTTTTATATGAACCGAAACCAGAAGAGCTTGCTGAGTTATACAGCAGTACAGATTGCAGCATCTTGTTTGTTGACCTTCTTTGTCTTGTCATTTACTATGTTCATCTCGACTTATTTTATGTTCTCTCTCTTGTAGTGTGACCTTTTGCTGAAAGGTGTGTTCTATGTAAGCCTTCTCTCAACCTAGAAGTCTTCATATAGAGGTGACAGTGAAGTCCTACAAGATACTCTAGTTCTTTGTCTTGCCTAAATAAGAGTTTTCCTTCATGTTGGCACTGTTATTTGTTGTAGATGTTTTGATATTATGAAGGAAATAATGAAAAATAAACCCAAACAACCAAAAAACCCAAGACACCACAAACTCGAACTCTTTAATAGCACTGTGTTCTTGCCACCAAAGTACCCTACCACTAGGCTAAGAATATAAGGATGAGACATGTCATGACAGGGAAATGTGTTTAAATGTGAAAGCTCATCTTTATAATTGAGAACGAGCAAACCCCCAAAAATTTAGGGAGAAGACAATCTGCTTGAGTTTTTACTAGACACCACCCCAAATTTAGGCTGAAGTTGCTTAAGCTGGTTTACTTACAACAGCCCCATTGATTTGGGGAGGCCACTGGGAGCACCTGATGGACTGCAAATTTCTGTGACTAAGGACTGCTTAGAGCGAGGTGTAACCTGGGCTGGCTGAGGGGCTGTGTTTGTTTATGTAGCAGTCCTGGACAGATTTCCCTTGTCCTGTTCTGGGGGGGGGGGCATTGTGAGGAAGGAGGAAGTAATAAATGCAGACTGAATTCTTTGCTTATGTTTGGTTTGGTCCCTTTTCTCTCCGGAGCAGGCTGGTCCATCTTGGAGTCATTGTGGGAAAAACTTGTAAGCCCTGAAGGAGGGCTAAACACCATGCACATAAGAGACAAGCAAAGACCAATTTTGTTACTGCAGATATTGTAATTACAGTGTAGTTACATTATTAGATCAGAAAATGTAGCAAGATTTTGACTAGTATGTTCTTATTCTGTTGGTTTCTGCCACTTCTGTCACTTCTGTTATAGTTCCAAAAATGCAGAGATCCCAGCTCTGTGTGAAGCAGGTCAGAAACAAGCAGCTAAGTATAGCAGTGGTCAATGCTTTCTTTATTCAGGCACTGTCAAAGAAGAACTCACAGACCTAAGGATGTTGTCATATTCTATTACTGAAGGTTGAACAGAGACATAGCTGAGCTCACATGTAAGCTGTTCACTGCAAGGAGTAGTGCTAAAGTGGGCTCTTGACAAGTTAAGACCATTTTGAGGAAGGGCTGGAAATATGTTCTGCAGCTGTTAGAGGAAGAAACAGAAGACATGCTAGACATAACGGTCTAGGAAAAGATATGGACCAATTTGTCCCGTGCTACCTTGGCAAGAGCTAGAGGGCGATTCGAAGTGCAGATTCCACTATCTGCTGCTGTGGCTGAGGGAGTTGGAACTGTGATTTTTCTTTCTTTTTTTCTTTCTTTCCCAACTTTCTTTGGATAACTGTGCTGCACTGGTATAACCTTTCTGGTTGCTGGAAGACAGGATGAATGTCTACTTTCTCTTCCTGTGTTGTTTACTCTTTCTTTGATCCTTCTTTGACATTCTTTGTCTGTCAGAAATGTTCTGACCTGTGTGCTCTGCAAGTGGGCAGGTTTGTGAAACTGATAAGTGTTTGGTCTCTGCTGCAGCTCAGAATGAAATAGGTAAGATTTTAAGTTTCTTGTTGGAAATCACTCACATAAGAGGGTGGAATGACCCTTGTACATCTTTGTAAACAAAAAAGATGAGACTTGTAATAGAGATAATATGTTAGTTTAAAGGGATTAAATTATTTTCCAAAGCATGTTTGTTTAAATCCTTGAGTTAAACTTTTAAACACCTCATCTGAAGAATTTATTGCATTCCACATGTACCTAATTATTTCTGAGTTAACCTCTTGGCACAGCTGTGGTTATTCAGAATAAATGGAGTTGAAGAACCTTTGTTCATTTGTTAAAAAGGGAGATGCATAACTGTATTCAGTATTCCAGTTGTGCACTATGAAATAGTTACGGCTAATTAACATTTGACTTTCTTTGCTTCTCCAATGTGTTCTGTGTCTGTGGTTTCATCTTAAAATAGCACTTTATTTTTCTGTACCTAAAAAAAATCAGAACCTATATGGTGGTTGTGCTTTCATGTATATATAGTTATAATTAGGGGTTTTACCTTAAAAGTTATATCACTGTTCCTCCTATTCTGTTGAAGTTATAGTAGGTGAAGAAGTTGTGTTGGCTGAGAGACTTTGTGTAGTTATCAGCAAATCTGATACCTTATCCAGATGCACAGAGATATAGTGCAAGTAATTATTTGAGATCACTTAATTCTCCTGAATTCATGCAGTATTTGAATATTGATAGATTAATGGCTTTAAATACTTTTTTTCTTGTTCAGAAGTAATAAGGGCTTGAAAAAAATTACTGGCTCCTAGACAAGGAATAAATTTTTCTGGCTAAGAGTAGCTATGGAAAGTGAAGAGTGAATGTTCCCAGAAAGAATTTCATGGCAGCCACCAGACTGCTTGCTGTTCTGTTTTTTTCACTGTGAGAATGTTGGAAATGCATCAAAATACAGTTCTTCTCTCTGACTTCTTTGCCTCTTGGCTACTGTAGGTATGCAACAGTTTAATTTTAGTGCCTCCTGTGAGGCATTGCGGTCTTCTGGGAATTTTGAATGCAATTTATACCATTAGTAAAATGAATGGAAGCTGCATTTTAGGAAAATACAGTATACATGTCACCGTGGGTAGATTACCTAATTTCTTTGCTGAGATCTTGCATAACGAGACATTAATTTGATATTTCCTTTTTCTCAGTGGAGATAAGCAGAATTTTGCTTTGAACTGATGTGTTTCCACAAAATTTGTAAAAGCTTATTTATTTTTGAGACTTCTGCTTTTCTCCATTTCTGCTCTCTACATCTTCTGCTTCTCTCTTAAATTTGTATGAACCCGCCTCATTTGATACTTCAGTGATAGGCTCTAAGAAACTATATAATCAACTAAGCTTTTTTTTTTGTTAAAAAGCAGGCTGAAAATCTTACCTAGAATCCCTCTCATCCAAAAGACAAAAATACTCAATTGTCTTTATATGTAACTGTTGCCTGTGATTCGACAATCCTGCTCTGCTAGTTAACATGAATGAGAGCTTCTTGAACATTTTTATTCTGCTCAGATTCTCATCTAACTCAATAACTTTATCTTTCAGTACCAAGATAAAGAGGAAGTTGTTTTATGGATGAATACTGTAGGGCCCTACCACAATCGCCAAGAAACATACAAATACTTCTCTCTTCCCTTCTGCGTGGGATCAAAAAAAAGCATCAGCCATTACCATGAAACCCTAGGGGAAGCACTTCAAGGAGTTGAATTGGAATTTAGTGGTCTCGACATCAAATTTAAAGGTAAGCAATTCACAGTGCCACAGTGCCTTTAGTCACTTAAAAATATACATGAACCCTTAAAACTTAGGTTTTTTAACTAGAAGAACTGAAAATTTGTTGCTGCTAGCAACCGAGTGTATCTTGTACCCTGCAAGGTTGTCTACTACGATTGGCTTTGAGTTTGCAGTGAAGGTTTCATCTATGTGCCTTAGAAGGAAAATGCTTGCAGCAGATACGTGCTTCTGAAGTAACTGATTACATTTTAGAAAGTACAACTAAGCTTTTTTGCATTTGAATGTTTAAATATTTGCTGGAATTAATATTCTGGAATTATTAATTCTGAAGATGTCATTTTTCCTCTGATATTGAGTACTTGCAGATTCTCTGCAATTTCAAAGGAGTAGCAAGGGCTCAACATCTCAAAGTTGTACCTTAACACAAAGTTGATTATTGTATCCTTCTGGTCACTGTCTAGTTTAAAATGCCTTTGACAAACACATTTATAACATTGGCCCTAACTCATCATATGCCAGTCAGGATGAAACTGGTCTGTTTATTTTCCTGTTGTTTCCTGCCCTCTCCATCTTTCCATACTGTTTCAGAGAAGACATTTAACCTCTTTTGCAAATACATATCTTGGTATTAGGGACATAATTTCTCTGTGTGTGTCCTTTCAGATATCTGTAACTGGTAGTTGCAGAGCTTCAAATAATAACAGATTCTTTTTGTCTCTGTTGAATTTTAACATTTATAAATTTCATTCAATTTGTGTTTCTGTGTATATGTATCTTTTTTTCCTAGAACACTGCACTTCATTACATCACTAGTGCTTAGCTGGATGGAGAACTTAAGCATATTATTTCTTGTCTGAGCATTTACAATCAGACGGGATTTAGTTTCTGTAAGTTGTAAAAGTTTTATCCAAAAGAGGACATCTGCAAAATAAGAGACTTGATGATGTTTTTGTTATCAGTAGAATAACAAAAGTGGAATATAAGATTAAGTGGAATAAAAGATTTTTAGAAAATTCATTAATACCATAAATTCTTTATAATTTTTAAAGTTGCACAGAGGATAGCATCTCCACATTAAAGGAGTTGGGGGTTGAATCTTTCCTTTTAATAAAGGAACACTACCTGCAGAAACACTGGAAATTAGTCCCATTACTGGTTTGTAACACCTTGTAGCATGCTGAAAATTTTACTCAATATAGGAGAAATAGTTTTGCTGTCAAACCTCATAGAATATGCTCAGAAACACAAAGTGGAAAGAACAGAGAAGAAAACTGGCAGGAGTTCAACACAATAAAATTTCTATTATCAGAATATGATAAATATTTGTTTTTGCAGCCAGTTTGATGTGAAATTTTTCTTTCCTTTAGTTGCCCCAACTTTACAAAGAGATTGTTTTATTCCTGTGATAAGTGTACTCTCTAGGTGCAACACCAAATTGAAAAGACTAGGTTTGTGAGTTAATGTTTACTTCTATGATGTATCCCATTCACGGAATTTTAAAAAAATTTAATTATTAACACCTTGGTTCTCAGTATAGATTAATAATCTGTATTGGACCTGCAGTGAATTTAACTCCCAACCAAAGTGGCTGCAGGTCAGATGTTCAGATGTTTTCTATAAAGCAGATGGTACTTGGTAGCTGGTTGATTACCAAGTGTGTGTACGTGATCTGTGAAGCTGTACATGTGCACTTCTAGCTTTTTTCCCTTACAATCTGTGTCCTCTGGATAAATGATGAAGACCATAATCTGTTTGCTGTTAGCTGGCATCCAGCAGCTTCTGCATTTCTAGCATTGGTCCATGAAGTGAAATCTGAATAGGAGTCAACTCTGTTTTACCATCTCTAATCTGCCGTTAAAAGTATTAAAATTTTCTTTTTTTTTCAAATTTCAGAGTAACAAGTATAAATTAATTGTAACAGTAGTTATTAGTAGTTATTTAATGAAATTATGTAAAATTTGTGAAATCTAAATTACTTTGATATGCAGGTTTTTGAAGTAAAAAAATAGAGTAGAAGGTTGTGGTGTGAGATTGATTAATTTTTTTTTTTTACAGGCTTAAAAGCTGTCATAAAACCAGTACAACTTATATCCAGTGTATGTTGGAAAATTTAGATTTCATAGATCAGCCCTTAAAATTTAGCATTTGTATAAAGAATTCTTTTCCAGTTTGGTTGTAAAAATGTGATGGTAACTCAGTTTTTTGGCGACTCTTTAATGGTAGACCTTGTTCTTTGCTGAAGCTGTGTTCACTTTTTTTTAAAAATAATTGTAACTAGATAATATCAATGAAATTAAAATATTTTTCTTTGTAATGGATAAGCTTTATCTCAGTGTGATTGATACATACTCTGATCTCTGCACCACCAGTGGTCCAAATGTTGCTGCAATTAAACAGAAACAGAGCTGTTGGTGTTTTTGTGGGTTGGGTTTTTCAGTTGTTTTTTGTTCTTTTGGTTTTTTTAAATGGCTAGATGCTTATGTTTTGGTACCAATAGATTCACAGGGTCTTATTCTTAAGATATTGCTTCAAGGAGTGTTGAGTATCTAAAATCTGCAGCTGAAGTAAATTAAGAGCTGCTCAAGTCCCATTCAATAATAAACTTGTACAGATTTTCTTCATAAATGTGTGAATCGTATCTGAGTTCTGAGTTAACAGGTAACCATGCTTTTCCTTATGTGTGTTTGGGATTATGGCAAGACTAACAATTACAGGCATTTTTTTTCTCTTTAAATGAGTGTTGTACGAGTTTACAAAATAAAATTAGATTTGGATTTTATACTTCTAGGATTTTATCCTTTAGAGTGAGTAAAGGTGAAGTGGAATTGTTCTAATAAAATAGCTTCTGCAATAAAAAACAGTTCCATTCTTGACATGGTTTGACTGTGCAGCAATAAGCATGGAGCTGCATGTTGTTCATCATATTCAAAGAATTATTTAGGCTGCGGCTGTTACTAGCTGAAATACTGAACTGTGTAAGTAAAACTGGCAGTTGAATCTCTGGGCATTGCCTGTATTTTTGAACTACAATAAAAAATTATGGTTCTGAAAAAATGTGTTCTTCTGAGAGTGGAAGTTAGCACTTGAATTCTCATAGTGCTGACTACTGGGGCAAAACCACAATATATTCAAGAATCCATAAATTAGTGTTTCTTTTTGTATTTAAAAATGTGTCATATGAAAGGATACCTGCAATCTTACAAGATAGCTGGATTTCCCTTCTGTTACAATATGAATTATGTTGTTCTTTTATCACAGGCATCAAATCTGTATAAATATCTGTATGAATAAAGTAATGAATTATTAACATACATTGTAATATAACTTTAAGCTGGCTTAATTTACTTGTCAAGCTAAATCTAGGGTAATAATGCTCCTTAATTAATATGTCAGGTTCTTTATTCAAGTATTTGGATTGACATCCTCTGTTACACCTGAGACCTAGTAAATTATTAAATGTATTGAACATTGGTATCATAGTGACTTCAGTTGGAAAATTAATTTTTGATATTGCCGTACAATGCCATTTAGACAAGGTTAATTTAAAGAGAAAAAGGATTTTTTAACATACTTGAATATTACACTTGTTCAGAAGTGTTACTAAATGACCATACTTCTAATGGAGAACTCTTTGCCCAGACTTCCTTCTGCAACACCTCCTGAATATATGGCAGCTGTTCAGGATGATGTTCAGTGTTGTACTAGGAGGTGGTCAGATATAATGAGGTTTTATATGATTTACGTGTTTGAATAAAACCCCATTGATCTCCGTTCATAGGAAATTTGAAATTTGGCTAAGCACACTTTTTTAATGAGTCATGCTTTCATGCTTTTTAAAAATTTGCTTAATGAGCTACAAGACGTTATTGAAGCTGTATTACATAGCACATGTTACCTCTTTGGCATCCCTGATGTAGACACAGCACAAAACATACCTTGGACTTCACATTCCTCTTGGATACACACCCTGCTAAGAACTCTCTAACATATGCAAAACTTTTGATCTCATAAAGCTATAATGAAGTAGACATCAGGTTCCCCAGCCACTGAATGCTGTTCTAAGCTTCTTTCATTTAATCATTTAACACAGTGGATTTAAGCTTAACCATCTAATCCTGTCCTGTAACTAAATGACAGCTTCAGCGTTCCCAGTGGCTGGTGAAAGGAGCACTTGTCTTCATTCACTTGTTTTAGGGGGAGGTGAGAGGAACTGTACCTGTGTAGTGTGGCTGAGGGTGACATCCTATACCATATGTAATGTCATGCCTGTATTTTGTGAGAATTGAATGAGGTTTTTTCTAATGATGCTGCTGGGGTTTTGTCTATGTGCCCTGGAGTAACTTGTAACAATCAAGATCCAGATTTGATTGTACTATTTCTACGATGTCCTTTGGTATTTTAGCTACCAGAAATGAGTCCTCAATTCCAGTGATGACAAAAAGAGCTGAGGGGAAGCTGGAATTCTTTACATTCACTGTTTCACTATTTGCAGAGTGAAGAAAACTTTACTAAGATGTGCATGAGAGGGGACTTGTCCCTAAATCTGCTGCTGCCTGAAATATTGTAAACATGTCTTTTTTTCACTTGAGAAGGAAATACTAGGGAAGGAATCTGAGATTTGAAAGAATGACTTATGAATTGTAGATGAGGAAGAATAGCTTTCTGACTCAAAGAGGTGGATTTATTTTATTTTCAAAATAGTGAGAGTTATTATACTAAAATAGATAATATTGTACAAAGTCTTAGGTATTTGTTAATAATTTCATACCTCTTGTTAAAGTAGAAGAGGTCTCATGATCTGTCTGGGTAAATCTCCCATGAGCTAATGGATCTTAATTTAGTGTGGATGAAGTAGCAAAAGGATACTTTGAAACCTTTTCATATCCAATCTGTGGGAAGCTTCTGCATGTGGAAGAGTAGATTTATGAAAACAATCATGTAATTGCTTTAATGGTTCCTTTTTAAATGTCCTTTTTTGTTACCTACTTGAGGATAGCCAAGAGGGCTTGAAGGCTTCATCAGTGTCCATTCCTCCATTTGCTTGGTTTGCCTTTGCTTTGAGCCAGCTCACTAATAAATCTTTAACTGTGCTTTAATTTTTTGCAGACGATGTAATGCAGACTACTTACTGTGAAGTTGACTTGGACAAAGGAAGAAGAGATGCATTTGTGTATGCTATCAAAAATCACTATTGGTACCAGATGTATATTGATGACTTACCAATATGGGGTGAGTGATATTATGTATAAATAACTGGATTACACCTACCTGAGTACTGTACTAGTGGGTTTTGTGGAGTCATTTGATGACTAAGCTTTGTTACAAGAACATAAAACGTACATGTAAACCAAATTCACAAGAATGTAAAACCAAATAATACAGCCTAGAGAAGAGGAGACTGAGGTCAGACCTCTTTGTGGTCTTCAACATCCTCATGAGGGGCGGCAGAGGGGCAGGTGCTGATCTCTTCACTCTCATGACCAGTGACAGGACTCAAAGAACTGTCATGGAACTGAGTCAGGGGAGTCAGGTTAGGTTGGATAGCAGGAAAAAGGTTTTCACCCAGATGATGGTTGAGCACTGGAACAGGCTCCTCAGGGAAGTGGTCACAGCACCAAGCCTGACAAGAGTTCAGAAAGTGTTTAGACAATGCTCTCAGGCACATGGTGTGATTCATGGACCATACTCTGCAGGGCCAGGAGTTGGACTCTGATCCTCATGAGTCCCTTCCAACTCAGCATATTCTATGATTCTTTGAAATAAATTGAGGGATTTTTGCACTGAAAGACCAGTAGGATGGCTTATACTAGTGAATTACAAAAACAGTGAAAAGCTGTTTTGTTTCTTGAACACTTATTTAATAGTAGCAAGTTCTTAGGGTTAAATTCTTTAAAATGTTTGAGTGTTAATTAGATAAGCTACATGTAAGGTCCATGTTATTGTGTTCATGAATAGCAACTTTCATAAAACTATTTCAGAGTTTAAACTTTAAATTGCTGCTACTTTACTGCTGACACAAGAACTATTTGGTTTACTTTCATGGTATTTTAGTGGCTTTTAACGGTTTTGCATGTGTAGTTTGTGTTTACATGAAGGAGGTTTATTTTACTTGTTTTTTTACAATTCTTAAAATTACTTGTGCTGAGTATTATTAATCTGGGCTTAGAAGTGCTTGTGTCTTGAATAAAAATGTGTGTATCCTAATGCCATTGTCTCCTAAGGTCTCTGTGTTTTTTACTCCTTTGTAACTTGTAATCATATTCCTAGTAAAGAGTCCTCTGCAGATTGCACTTTGCATTGATAGCAGTCAAACTCCCTAAGCCCTAATCTCCCAGTTGTAGGTATAAACTGAAAGGAAACGAAAAATGTTTTGTTAAGGTAAGGTCTTTGTTGCCTGTGATCAATGAAAGAGGTAAACCTGCCCAAAATAAACAAAATCCTGCAACACCTACAAAAATACGGTTCAAGTTGTGTAAGAAAAGTCCTTTGATAGGTGGTATGAATAATGCTACCCATTGTTCATTCATTCTGACAAAGGGGACTTTTTTTTTTAGCTCTTATAATTTTAATTTGCTCTAGAAGGTGTCTGTCTAATGAACAAATGAACATGAGCCCCAGACAGAAACATTAGCATTTTATAGCTTTATTTATTTATTATTTATCTGGTAGTCAGGAAGATTCTTTTTTGTTTGGTTGTTTGGTTTTTATTTGTTGGTTTGGTTTTGTTGTTGGGTTTTTTGTTGTTGTTTTGTGTTTTAATGTGAATATTTTTGCTTGACAGGAGAAGTACTTTTATATTGATTTTATTCATTTCAGCTGATTCACTTATTTTGTATAGCAGGTCTGTGGCAGGGCTTGGAGTAGAACTGAATTGCTGTATGTGGCCTTTACTGAACTACTTGTGTAATTGCTGGTAGGCTTTTTAAAAGCATGCATGAGTGACAGTTGTTGCTGCAATATTTTTTAGGTTTTTGGCCTTTCAGCAAAAGATCAGTGAATGATTTTTCTAGGCTGGTGGCAGGCATGTAGGCTTTGCATTGCGGAAGGATGATGGATGCTAAGCTAAACTCTTTGGAATCCTGTATGGCTTTCTTTTTTAGGACTGATTTTTCTGGTCATGTTTTATCACCTCAAATGCCAAAGAACAAACCTACTTACTAAATCTTCTATACATTGACTAAATTTTATGCTCTCAGCTAAAAAAATCTGTTTTCCTGTGATTCCAGTGTTTTTAAATGTTTTTCAGTAGTGTGCTTTGTATGCCCAAGAAATCAGCTAACAAACACGTAGAATCTAGGTATCATCTTTGTAAGATATTAAGAGGCTGGTTTTGGTAGTTGTTGGGAAGGAGGACCTCAAGCTGTGACATGTAATAGATTGACTGCAGCATCGTAGGTATTGGTAATATTATGCAAGGATGTAATCTGACATCAGGTGTGAAAGCAAGCAGTGCTGACAATTTTGGTCTGTCTGTGAGGGTTAGGTAGAACTAGCAGATTGGTCAACCAATATTAGCCAGTTTTTTATTCAGAAAAATTATTCAGTTCTTGATGGGGGGTTGAGAAAGGAGTGGATGCACCTGAACTGATCAGAAGTGTTTATCTGCAAGTCTGAATGACTCTTTTGGATCTTTGTGTTCCAAGTACATTTTAGAAAACTGTGAGTATGGCTTATCTGCAATAATTGTGGCACTGAGACTTGCTGCTCGTTGCACAGTTTTTATTGTAAATATTTCTGCTATGAATGTGGCATGAGTGATACTGTACATGTGGCTGTGCCATTTTGCTGCTGTTTTTGAGTGTGTTGGATAGACTTGCCTAGTGGCACATAAAGTGGTGGCAGATAGAGATACTAAAGAAAAATATCTTTTGCTAAGTGCATTCAGATAAAATGATTCCGTTTTATGTTTTTTCCTGAATTGCTGTCCCACAGTGGAGAGACAAGGCTTGACTGTTTTGGGACATTCCCTAAGTATATGAAGCACTGTGTTAGTTCACTCCTTCAGGGGGTGATCGATCAGAATGTCCTTTTAGGTAATTTAGAGGTCTGTATTGCCATGGTTTTGGATAATACCATGGGCCCAGATGGTATGCCAGGTGCTAGGCTGTATGGCATAGGCACAAACTGGCACTTGTGCCGTGTGGATGGCATATACAAGGCAATCCTGACAGATGAGCATGAGTAAAAAACATGACAGAAAAACACCACCTTGCAAATTAAAAAACAGAGGTGATGCACAAGTGCCATTCCTTCATATACCTGCTGTTTTGTAATAGCCTGTTCCATATCCTTCACCTACCTGTTCTCCCGTTCCCTCCACCTTTGTATATCTTGAGTGCTGCTTTTAATGTGAGTTTCCATTTTGTACATCTTGCGTGTGATCTTTGGTATGATGGTCTTGATATCAAAGGTGACACTTTGTAGCCTGTGAACTTGGTGACTGCTAGTCTTTTTTTTTCTCTCCAGCATGGTACAGTCTCTGGAATTTTTCTGTAGTAGATGAGACATTTTGCATTAGCTTACTGAAAATGAAGAACTTAACCATAGAATGGTTTGAGTTGGATAGGACCATAAAGATGGTTTCAACCCCCCTGCCATAGGCAGGGACACCTTTCATTAGATCAGGTTGCTCAGAGCTCTATCCAACCTGACCTTGAACACTTCCAGGGATTGGGCATCCACAATTTCTCTGGGTGATTTGTTCCAGTGCCTCACCACCCTCACAGGAAAGAATTTCTTGCAAGTATACATTCTTGGCAAGCAGTGGAAACTTGTGTGCAAATGAGAGCAAAAAGCATGTGTTGGGGAGTCAGCTAAAGAGGATTACAGAGTGAAAGTAAAATTTTTAAGAGGAAGAAAAAAAAGTTAAGAGGTAGATGGGAGATTGGAAATTATAGAGGTCTTGGCTAAGTTATCTTCAGGGATATTGGATCTGTATTTAGCTAGTTGTTTATCTGGTAAGAATTGCAAATAAAGGTAGAGGAACTGTTGTTGCATCTTCTGCAGTGTTTGTAGCTGCATGCTTTTTCGTTTAATGCCGTTACAAAATTCTTGGAGAGACCTGTGGATTGACGGTAATCCAGGTATTAGAGTGGAAAAGAAGAGCATAATGTCTTCTGCGTTTTCTTTAGTTATGTTGCTTTTTTTAGCTGGCAAAACTTTCATAATGCATATTTAAAAAAAATAAATACACAGTATCTGAAAATATACCTGTAATAGATGCTTACACTTGTTTCCTATACAGGGATTGTTGGAGAAGCAGATGAAAATGGAGAAGATTATTACCTTTGGACTTACAAAAAACTTGAAATTGGTTACAATGGAAATAGGATTGTAGATGTCAATCTGACCAGTGAAGGAAAGGTGAAATTGGTACCAAACACAAAAATCCAGATGTCATATTCAGTAAGTAATTTGGTGATGCACCTGTAATAAGAAATTCTACATGGTGAAATAGCTCAGAAATAGGTACCTCTATACTTAAAATGTGTACTGCTACATTGGGCTATATTAGAGGAAGATGCATCTTCACTTCTTCAAATATTTTGTTTAATTGCTGAAAAACCTTGGTAGATTTATTAATAACAAATGTAAAATGATGATTTTTGAAACACTCCAAACACGCTGAAGCTTCTATTATCTGCAGAAAAGTGTTTTGATGGGAAAGGAAGATGTCCCAAAAGGTATGGATACTAGAAGTATAGAGGACCCTCAAATAGATACACATTTTCTTCATGTTTGGACCTCTGACATTTGCGTCATAGGGTTGAACTGGATTCTGAGCTAGGGCAAAACCCCACTGTAAGCCTTTATGCTTTGCAAGCCATTACTATCAAAGCTTATTTTCTTTTTGCAATTCCAGTAGAAATTTCTTATTTATATAACCTTATTAATGAGGTTATAAGGTTTTTTCTGAAGCTCTCTGCTATTATATTGAATTGCTGTCATAAAAGGTAATGAATAAACAACATTTGCTGATCAAGATAACAATTTTTCAGTTTTCCTCCTTGTTTACTTAAATCTGTAAAGATTCACTTGTCATGTTCACCACGTTTGTATACTGAAACTAGTTCTTAATGCATTGCTTTTCTACAATGTGTTAGCAGGAGATGTCAGCATAAGATTTTATTTCAGAGGATATTCTTGCTGCTATTACATTGGTCTTGTGCTGAGTAAGTTTTATAGTTTGAAGTGCAGATAATTAGGTTTTGTATGTGCTTTTTAGAATTACATTTACACTAATCTCCCTTTTTCTACTGCAAAATCAATAGTAGAAATTCTGAAATTTGCTATTTCAAATTCCACCAGCATTGTGAAGTCCATTTGCTCTGAATTTTAAGTTGGACAGCACTGGGGAGCTACCAGTAATGAAAATAACATTAGATGTTCTCTTAAAATACTTTTTAGTGTACAAAGCTCAAGACTTACCTATCCAGTTCTGTTGGCACCACTGGGCAATTGCTGGGCTGGCCTGTGTGTGCTGTTTAATTCACAGATTGTCTCTGGTGGATTTGTTCTAAGCACTACTTCATAGTGACAGATGCTCTAATGAGAAATGTATCTGCTTAATAAAATGTTGAAAGCTATTAATGTTTTGAGCTACTAATCTTGAATAAGTTTGTAATTTGAACTGAAGAACATTAATATCAAACCTCAAAGTGAGTACTACTCAAGTCTTTGGGTTTTTAGTCTGTCTCAGGACGGTGGCGAGCAATTGGGATATTTAATCTACAGTTATATGCTTTCTTCTATACTCAGTAAGAGAACATGTGTTGGAAAGGATAGTTCCTTCTCATGTGTTTTAAAAAGATAGGCACAAGGGGGCTGCATTTGTTTCAATATCACTGAAAATCCTGATATTTTTAAATTTTGGCATGCTTTTGAAAAAAATTTTAGGATAGGCTTGTTTTAATTTTAATTTTTTAATGCCATTTCATAAATCTTGCAAAAATTCTCAAAAATACTTTGTGCTACCATATTAGCACCATATATTTCATTAACACAATTAAATTTTCCAAATTCAAAGGAGTCCTCTATGCAGCTTGTGGAGTAAATGATAGCAGTAATATCCTGTTACCCTGTGATAGTATGTCCATAAACACATACTTTTCCAGCTGGTTAGAGTTATTTATTGGCAGTTGAAGTATCTAGATTGCAGAATCCTGTGGTCTTACAGGTTTTGGGCTGCAGCTTTTAGTTTTGTAAGCCTTTAAAATTTTGATGTCTGTCTGTTAGGGTCCAGCTTGATCTCTTTTATCCAGTTCCTTTCCAGCGGGCTTGTATCTCAGTTCATGCCCTTTTTTTCGTATTGGCATCTGTTTTAAATCTTTTCTTATATCGTCTCATTTCCCACACTTCTGCTAGACTGCATCTTTTTCCTTGGGCACTGTACTCAGAGAATTTAGGTACAGGTGATTTCACTGAATGCCAGTCTCAGTTCATGGTACCCAAACAGATCTCAGCTGCATTTGGGGGAGCAGAAGCACACGATGTTGTTATTGCTCAATGAACACTGGCGAGGTTCTCCACAAGCCTTGCTTCATAAAATGCAGCACATGGAAATGTTGAGAAAAGGCAATTTGCTGCCAGCAAAAAAAGAAAACCAAACTGGAAAAAAAATCAAGTACTTTCTGGCATGTCATTCTTGAACATATTTAAACATGCTTTCTTTCTTTAACCTTTGTTCTGAAATCTTGAGGAAATTTGGGAGGATTTTTGAAAGGTTTTACAAGTATCTCCTGTGGGGAAAAAACATCATCTTTGAACTATTCATTTTACAAAACTGAAAAATAAGAACATTTGATGGATTTGGGGTTTTGTGCCTTCAGTATGAGTATCTTTATGAGCTCCTTCTATAATCATGGAAAAGCTTTGTTGTATTTGACAACAAGTTTGCATCTTTGGTTAGCCTCACAGACACAGTGAGAACTGAGGCAGTGCAAGACTGATTCTTCCTTGTTTTTGCACATAAGCATGTATGAGAATAGATCCATGAGGCAAGGTGGCTGATGTTCATTTTATGTATGACCTGTAGATGCCAGTCTTTAAGAACATCATTCCGTTGGTTTTGCCAAAACCTGTATTCATGTTGAAAAAAACATCTGAAGTGGGTGGTTTTTAATATGCCTTCTGGGTTTCAGCATGTGAGTATAGTTGAACATACTATAATGAGCTTTTAAAATGAACATACTATAATGAGCTTTTTCTCTCTCTAGGTGAAATGGAAGAAATCAGATGTGAAGTTCGAAGACCGATTTGACAAGTATCTTGACCCATCTTTCTTTCAGCACAGAGTATGTATTGTTCTAAGAAACCTTACAAAATAACCCTTTGAAATTATTGCTTTAGTTCAGATGATGTCATGGATTTTTTGGATGACATCTTTGGTTTTTCGGATGTCCCAGGTGTTCTGGGGCAATGAAACAGGGGGATCTAGGTCTAGTTTTTAAGTGATAGTGTTGTTGCTAAAATAGGATGGCTCCAATCTTTCAGAGTGCTTCGGTAAGTATGCAGGCAAGCTTCAGGCTTGCAGAAAATACAAGGCAGTTCAAGAAGATATATTCACATGATGAGAAGCAATGAAGCTTCAGGGAAACTGTGCAACCGTGTAAGCTGAATAACTGCAGCTGGCCATAGGTATGTTTCTTTCTGAAGTAAATGCAAAGCAAAAGGCATTAGCCTAAAGCAGTTGGTGGTATCAGCTGTGATGGTTTAAATCTAGGGTTGTAATCTCCTTAAGAGTAATATAGTGAGCTGTGCAACTTTCTGAAATTAGAGATTTTGCATTCTGTTTGGAGCCCAGTGAAAACCAGAGTTATGCTTGTCAGAGGAAAAATAGTGCTGCTGCACATTTTGATCCTGTGCAAAGCAATAGTTCCTTTGACTTTTTGGCTGTGAGCATCTCTTTTGCTACTTAAACTTCTTCTCTAGGAAGGCAGCAGTACATCGTGTTGCCTTGTGTTTACCAAGGGAGCATGCACAGCCAGTTGTTCAAACTTAGGCTGCTGCTTAGCTAAGCTGTGATAACTTTGTCATGGGCAAAGCTGGCTCCTGAAAAGCTTCATGTATGGTGCTTCACAGGCCAGTTTTTGAGGGACTTTCTGAAAATGTAGTCTTACTTACATTATGGTTTATTGTTACTTAGCTGGTGCTGACAAGCTGTCCTGCTAGGCGATGATTTATCCTTATTGGAACAATTTGAAACACATTTACAGTTCTAAACCTTAAGGGTGTGTTTTCTTTTTGTAGATTCACTGGTTTTCAATTTTCAATTCTTTTATGATGGTGATCTTTCTGGTTGGCTTAGTGTCTATGATATTAATGAGAACTTTGCGAAAAGATTATGCAAGATACAGCAAGGAGGAAGAAATGGATGATATGGTAAGATCTGTGTTCATGCTTTAAAAACTTTTTTTTTTAAGGCTTGTTGTTTTCTTGTCATACATTCATTGTGTTAGGAGCTCGGAATGGCTTTCCTCAGTTGGACAGAAAACTGCCTTTTGTGTGTCTTGAAAGTGTTGCTGGTTTTCTTTATAACATGCTCCTAGAGTGCAACCCAAAATTCTTCCGTAGTCACTGTATTAATGTTCATATCCAGCCTTAGGTTAAATGAAGTCCATTCTGACTTGGTAGTGTAAGCCTGCATATGCTCCTAAATACTTCAGAGGATTTAGGGACAGGGAGGGATTCTGATACATTTTACTGCATCATACATTCCAGTAGTCATTTTTTGTTGTCTTCCATAAGCATCTGAAAAGTAAACTTTTCTCCCTGGGTTTGATGCATTCAGAAGAGAAGACACACTCGCACTTGAAGTTGCTTTAATAAATCAGACCTTTTGTTTATATCTAGCTCGTGTGTTTGTCATTAATTGTCATGACTAGACTTAAAATTTGTTGTTGTTGTTCCCAGGACAGAGATCTAGGTGATGAGTATGGGTGGAAGCAGGTCCATGGAGATGTGTTTAGACCATCCAGTCATCCTCTAATATTTTCATCGCTTATTGGTTCTGGCTGTCAAATTTTTGCTGTGTCTCTTATAGTCATTGTTGTTGCAATGATAGAAGATTTATACACAGAGTAAGTATAATTGTGTCATGTCTTCCATATATAAATGTTTAAATGAACAAAATAATTACAGAAATTCAGTTCTAACTGGCCTGAAAAAAGTGTTTGAGAGTCTTTAGTCATTCTCTGTAGATCAGATGTGATATTAAGAAGTGATCTTTTAATTTGTAATGAAACTTTGTCCTACTGTTATCACATGAGTTGGTCTCCTTTGATTTTCTCTTTTAATGCTTGATTTATTATGAAACTAGTTTGTTGTTCTGCAGAGTCAGATGTAGATGATATGGGAAATAAATGTTAAAAGGTACATATTTCATCCCTGGTTTCATCCAGACTGACCAGATATGACTATATTTCTTACCCTATATTCTCTACCATGTCCTGGGAGTGCATTCTGTTGTGAATAGTCCTGTTTGCTACTGACAATGCATTAAGTCAATCTTATCCACAAGTCTTCCCAGGAATGGAGATGTAATTTCTGAAGCTGTTTTGAACACAGTGCTTGGCCTGTGTTGATGTAAAACCTCCAGCAATAGGTGGGCTGTGGTCCTGACTGGAGAGAATTCATTTAAAACAAACAAATAGTACTCAAGTTTAAATTTAACACACTACTTGTAATTCACCTGTTTTCTTCTTTGCCTTTTATCTGTTAGAGATTTTTGGGTTACTCGTTTGTGTTTTGGTTTGCTTGGGTTTTTTTTTTCTGGTTGGTTATTTTTTTACAAGTGCTTTGTTTTAAGCAATGACTAAACTTTCAAATCTCTGTTCTTCTTGAATTTCACCTGTAACTATTGATTTTAACAAGTTGTAATACTTCTAATGTGCCACTAGAGAGAACTCTTGTTTTTGAATTTAGCTGCCTTTTAATGGTGTGTTTAAAAAGCCACTCTGTAGTTACCAGCATCTTGGCATATTTCCATTTTTCATATGGTGTTATTCCCCTCCTTGTGCCCCATGGTTATATTTCTGTATAGGTGTACATACACACTTCTAATTGTGCAGCATGTCAGCCCTTCAGAGGAAATTAAACCATTTCAGAATGTTTGTGCCCTGTAGGGAAGCTGTAAGTTAGTAATGGCAATTGTGGAATGTGTCAGAAGAGTAATTTTAAAAAAGATATGTGCACTTAGTCTTTTATTGTGATAGGCCTTTCTATCACTTTCAAAGTGAATTTAATTCTGGTCAAATGTAATGGAACAATTTGACCAAATCTAGTGCAGACAATTTATATATTTAGGAAAATAGCAATATGAGTTAAGAAGGCTGTAAACCAGAATTTCAAGAATGATTGCCTGTCACTGTTCTTCAGATCTGTTAAGCTCCTAGTCATCATACAGCTGATGCCAGCTGAAAGTCTCACAGTGAAATTTGGTCATGTCAGTTATTAATTTATTAATACTGGTTTGTGTTTCGAGAAGCATTTCCATTAGAGTATTTGAAATGTGAGTAAGCTCCGAAATAAGAAATTTTGAGATAATTTTAGATTAACAACTCTGGTCTTTTTACTGGTAGCCTGGTTTTACATGTGCCACTTCAGACTGTACCTGGTCTTTGGAGTTTTGCGTGTGTTTCTAAATTGTGTTAAGTTAGGAGAAGATTTTAAGAAACAAATGTTAGTAAAGCAGTCTTCAGTGTGTGTGACCATCAGGTACATTTGCTTTGGTCATGCAGTCATGGAAGCCTAAGTGCTAAAGATTTCTTCTTTGAGTACAGCAAGCATCCAGTAGTGGTGCCTCAAAAACCAAAATGGCAGTAGACTAGAATCTCTCAGAACAACTACTTGGAAGAAAGTACAGCAAGCTGTCTGAAAACCTACTGCTATTTGCTGTTGAAGAATAGCAGAGGAATGTGGGGAAACAACTCTATTTTAATGAATAACATTTATATCTTGCTATTCTTAGACATGAATTTAAAAAATGTATTTGGAAATGGCTTTTGTGATTTAAAATTATTACCTTTGCCTGTAAAATTTCAGAAAAATTATGCCAAAATGAGTACTCCAACATTTAATGAGGTGATAATTTAAAAATTACTAAGTTCTTCTGATTGCAGTACTCAATGCTGATGTGTGACTTCATTATAGTATTTATAGTTTCTAAATCTAATTTTCTGCAAGATGAACACTTTCTGTCTTAAAAGTTAATTTCTGAGGGATGGCAGAAACATTATTCACAATCTTAGTATATTTTTTTTAAACTGGCCTTTTCACATTTTATTTGCAGTTGAATCTTAGGCTTAATGTTTGTCATGTAAATAGTTATTTATACACAAAGTACACACGTCCAAATGTCAGAATATTTTTATCAGAGGGGAAATGTTTGTACTCCAGTGAAAATAAATGCATGTTAGAAAAGAATGTAGTATGTCAAAACTCTTTTTCCCACATTGAATTAGGGTTGGACAAAAGCTTTGGATACAAACAGTTCTCATTCTTATGCAGATTTCCCAATTTAAGCACTGTTAAATTTTTATATTACATAAAAATATTAAATAACTGCTTCTGCTAAAAATACATGCCTTGCAGTATTTTTTTTTGCTCTAATCATGTTTGGTTTTATATGCCATTTACCAAAAAAATCCCTTCTCGTAGGAGAGGATCAATGCTTAGCACAGCTATATTTGTTTATGCTGCGACATCGCCAGTGAATGGATATTTTGGAGGAAGCCTTTATGCTAGACAAGGAGGTAAATTGTTTTCATGTTTCAGCATTTTCATTGTATGGTTAAATGGAGAAGTTATTATTTTCTGATTTGCACCAATATAGAAGTGTCCTCATGGAGTTGGGTCATTCAGATGGAATCCATTAAATTCTGAATAAACAAAAACATTTTGAGTATATTTAACTTTCATATTATCTATTCAGTATTGGCTGCACTTTCTAAAGAGGTAACTGAAATCTTAGGTTAATTTAAAAGTAAAAAGAGCTGAAAAACTGTTAACAGTTGTGACTTATGAATTGCTTGTTATACTCTTGTATATAATTGTTTGGCTCATGGCATCCAGAGTTTAATAACCTCTCCCTTTTCTGTTACACACTGTTAAACAGCTCATGTCATCTTCTCCAGATGACTCCTACACAGTCTGTAGTTACTAGGGGGTTATGTAAGGCTAACATGAAAAGGATGAGTATAGATTATTTACTATTATTACCATTAATTGGGGATGGGGAAAACTGTTTATGTCGTCTTTTAAAGAAGTTTATTCTGCTTTCCGCTATGTACTTGACTTTATACTTTGCAAATCAAAATGAGCATCAGTAGAGAGCAGAAGCCAAATAAAATTGACATAGCAGATATGGGCAGGCTGTCTTCAAATGCTCCCCACTGTGCCTCTGAGTTATGACCAGTTAGATCCTTGCAGTCCACTAGCTTTATCCATTCCCTATGCTGCAATAAAAGAGTAATCAATATCTATTATCTTCTAGAGTACTTTAAATAATTCTGGGAAGTTCGCAAAAGAAAATTTATATCTTTTTAGCATGATAATACTTGTCAGTATTCAGTCTTGACTGTACTCTTGAGTTTGGAGGCTAGATGCTTCTTTTCATGTGGCTTGTTTATAAACCTAGCAATTTGTACAAAACCAGATCTAGGTAGATTAGGGTTGCTGGTCTGAAATATACCATACTGTATTGTTGAGCCAGATTTGCCTGTATTTTTTTTTACAGATCAAACATGTATCAAGCCGTGAAGTGGTGATTATGTTGGCTCATGGTGAAAATACATATGATGGTCTTGAAAAAAAAAAGCTATATTTTGATTGTTTTTGTTTACTGCATATTAATATTATGGTGTATTAAATTTAATTATAGACAGTATTTAAGAGCATAAAAAGACAGTGCAAATTTTTAAGGCATTGCCCAAGAGGGTTTCTTTGAGCTCCTTAGGGAGCTCTAAACTTAGTAATAACTGCTAACAAGTGTCACTGTTCCCTTGATTCTTGGGGTTTCAAAATCACTTTCTTTCTACCTTTTCTGCTGTTGAAGATGTCAAGAGTTCAATTCTGCTGTGTGCTAAATGCTGTGGCAGTTTGCTGTATACCAGGGATAGCCAGTTCCTTAATGCATCCTGAATGTGTGGAAGCAGTTTATTTGGGTCAAGACAACATGGAGCAGGTGCTGCCAGGAAGCAGCTGTAGCGCTGAGTTGTCCTGGGAGCAGCGCTGAGCTCTCCTGTGCTCTCGGAGTGTGAGCAGGCTCTGCACAGGGCCAGTTCTGCTGTCTCTGTCTCTACTAATCTGCAGCCTACATACACACTTAGGTTTCATACCCCAGCTCCTTTGACCAGCTTAGTCAGCATATGCTGTCCTTCAGCTGCAATGTTCTCACGCTGTATCGCTCTTCCTATCTGTTCACCTGGCCTGCTAATTGATTAATGTGCTGCATCTTGTGAGTGACCGGGAGTCAAATGACACTGTTAGTTCACTCTTGGCTCTTGTATTGATGTAGTATGTTGATATTTATTTCTTTCACCTTTTTGTGGGAGAAGTAGTCTAACATCTAAATCCTGGAGAGCTTGCTAATACGTTTTTAAACAAAATGTGCTGTGTCTCACCGGTCTCGTTGGAATGTCCCTTCTTACAGGAAGGCGATGGATAAAGCAGATGTTCATCGGAGCCTTCCTCATTCCAGCAATGGTGTGTGGAACTGCCTTCTTCATTAACTTCATTGCCATCTATTATCATGCTTCAAGAGCTATACCATTTGGAACCATGGTGAGTCATTTTATTGGAGAATTTAATCACCACTGTAGAGACAGAAAACTACTTTTTTTTTTAATCTAAATACAATTATGAGTCATAGCTTTAGCTTCCTAGTTAGGAATTTATTGTGGGAGGGGTTTAATGTGCTTCAAGTATAATTCATTTTAATCACAATAGCAACAGCTGCTGGATGCCAAAACCAATCTTCTCTCTGCTTAAAATGCTACTTCTGCTTTGTATTCAAGCTTAGTGTTTTAAAAATGTGGGAAGTTAGCAACTTGAATTTTCTTCTGGATGGCCAATGCAAACTGGTTATAATCTAAAATGAAATACAAAAGGATTCCAAATGAAAGCTACTTCCAAGTCATTGCAAGCAAGCAGAAAAATAAAAATAAATTATCAGGCAACAATATGAGATAAGACATTCTGAGGAGACCTCTCTTTACGAAAATGACTCACTGTTCTCACTTTGTGTAGTGTTATTTGATATCCAGTTATGGTCTTGTGTCTCTAAGTTTACCCATTCACTTGAAAAACTATGCTGGTTGGATTACTTTTTCATTTAATCATGATGGCTGTCTTTATTTCTTGTGTCTTTTGTCATGATTTTGTTTGTTGTGTTGGCCCTTTCAAGCAACCTCAAATAATCCTGTGAATACAATGTAGGAAATAATCACTTGCCACTTCAGCAGAATTTCTGTTTGGTCTTGCAAGGGTATTATTTTAGAGCAGAAATTTTTTTGAAATATGCATCATAAAATTGCTTTTTCTAATTTTGTGCAATACCACTGTTAACTTATAAGAATATCTTCATACAGGGAGTCTTGTTTTCTTTTCAATATCTGTAGCAAATCTTGGAATTTAACATTTTTTATAGCTTTCTTCTTTGCATATCAGTTTTTGTGATATGTTACGTTGTTCAGACCATTCAGAGATTTTTGAGTGGCCTTGGATTTCTTCTTAGTTTAAATCTACCACAAAATTAAGATTATCACAAGTTCTGTCTTATAGATTATATTATTTGGGATATAATTGAATTCAGGATGTGACTGAAAATATTTCTTAAGAACACATTTTTAATGAATGAATGTGATAGACATTATAACTGATAATAAGATAGATAATTCTCAGTTTCAGGGAAAGACTTTCAATAATTTTTTACTGATGGAAGAGTCATTAGATGTATGTTGCTGGATCTAGTCATCTCCTTATTAACAGTATTTTCAATGCATGCCTAAATATCAACTTTTTACACTGAATTCATTGTTACAAAATTAACTATAATATATATTATTATTATTATATATTATATACATATAACATTTACAAAACTAAATATAATATAAAGCTAAACGTGTTTATAAACTCTTCACCTTTTTTTTCTGGTTTTCTTCTTCAAGAAATTAGACTAACATTCTATCTTTGAATATGTTTGTATTAGTTGGTCAGTACCCCAAAGCAATACTGTATTGTTTTTTCTTTCTTACACTAGCGACCATGTACAATACTGCCATAAAAGTTTACAGCACTGATCTTTGATATGTGCGAAGAGGCTCTGTTTTACTGCTGAGCAAGCCATTATGGTATCCCATTTCTCACTTGTATTCCCATTTGGAGGCCAGGAATGCTGAGGGAAGGGAATTCCACCTGTGCTGAAGTTTTTCTTGTGAATTTGTTCAACTGATTTGTATTTTAAGATCATGGGAACGTGCAAGCAAAAGCAAATGGATATATAAATCTTCAGGGGTCACTTAACCAGAATGTTAGGACTCTGTACACAGTGATTTTAACGTTCACAAGGTTTTATGAGAGTGTTTGAATCATTGTGACTGTGGCAATAAAACTAGAGCAGAGTTAGCAGGCGAGCAGGTTATGAATCGGCAACTTCATCAGAATGAGCAACGCTCTAATGCCTTCAAATCAACAAGCTGGTTTGCAGAAGGAAATAGAAATTGCTTGCAATTACCATGTTATGCTTTAGGTTGAAGTCCCCAGGAAGCCCTCTGGCTTTATGGATAAGATACATTTGTAGCTTTCCACCTTTGTTTCCAATGTAAAGAAGCGTCCAGAATTGTATAATGCAAGCTTGCTGCTGCTGATTTCTTGGGGAAATAAAACCTCTGTCATCTAAGTGTACTACAATACAGAAGTTACTTCCTTTACCCTGGCATGTCTTGAAACCACCCTCCTTGATTTAAATTGCTGACAAGATTCTTCCTGACTACTGTAAACCTGGAAAAAGCACAAACTGAGTTGCTGAAAAAAGTTCCTGAGCTAAAAGGTTGCTGAGACCATTCTTGAATGTGTCCTGTGCTTTGCCCATTTGGCATTGCCACTTCCCAGTGAACCTAGGGAGCCTCTGTGACTTAATTCGTCCCTCCAGATAGATTTTTCTATGGAATTTAGGCAAGGGCAGCTGATAGTATCAAAGCCAAGACATCCAAGCTAACACCTAGTTGCTGCATCCTGGTATCCACACTTTGTCTTGAAATGCTCAAATTGATTGGGCTCTCCAGGACCTTCATGCATCTCACTGACCTTGTAGTCTGTTTTGAATGTCAGAGCTTGTATACCTCATTCCTGATGTCTGGAATCTCCTCAAAGATGTGGCAGGACCTGAGAAGATCTAGAGCTTCTTTCTGAATTCAGTCTTCACTCTCGGGACTGCCCTTAGCCCTTTTGGAAATATGTGCAAGCTATCTTACCTGCAGTGTGACAGACCTTCTGCAGTGAAATACACCATGAACCTGAACAAAGGCTTAATCTCTTCCCTGGGATATCTTTCAGCTGACCTTTCCTTCAGAATGCAGCCTAGAATGTGATAGATTTTATTCAAATATGAGAGCTTTTTTATAACTTTTTACTATAAAGCTTTTCACTCCCTAGGCATATAAAGGAGATATAAAAATCTCTACTTTTTTCACTCGTCCCTTCACCTTTATAGAAATGCAGTGGGTACTGTTCAATTTTTCATTCTTTTGGAGCTCAGATTTAATTTTTTGCATGTATTTTTTTTATTATATCCTGTTACTGGTGAACATCAAGTTCTGAAGTTGTGGTACACCTTGACTTACCTTCTATTGATGTTTGTCAGTCTTTTCAATGTATTTGTCAATCATCTTTCTATTTTGTTGTGTTTGAATTATATGTAAAAAGTGGAGCATGGAACATTTAAGAAGAATTTTAAATAATGGCATATGAAGTGACTTCATATATGTTTGAGGAGCTTGGTAGTAGTTCTGTGCAGCAATACTAAGTAATGAAGAATTTTTACTGAGTACAGCATGACTGAATTTGAAGGGGCCGTCTTAATTCGGGCATTTCATAAGTTGTGACTGCTTACGTTGTTCTGTGTGCAATACATAATTTAAAGATTTCCATTAAGCCTGCTATGACTAATGTAATATTCTGACTGCAGAATCTGTGCAGCTTCTATTAACTGTTTAAGATGTACTGTTTTTGTTTTGTTTGAGCAGTAGGTTCCTTTGTGACTAACATTTCCAGAGTGCATTTTTAATGATTTAATTAAACAAGGTAAAGCACGCTGAATTTCTCTTGGGATTGAGACCCTGTTTGCATCTTTTATACCTTGTTTCAAAAAGAAGAAAGTGTTTCCTCCAATAGATAGCTTAATGCAGGCTGCAGTTTTCCCTGACAGGTTTGAGTTGATAGGAGTATTGACTGCCACTGAAAAAAAGAGGACCCGGTAGTGCCAAAGATTTTCATTCCTTGAGCCAGATAAGGAAATACACCTGGCTAAAAATAGAAAAAAAATCCTATTACATACATTCAGCAGGGTGCTTCCTCAAATTGCTTGGAAGTGACTGTGGTACCCTTGGTCAAAACCCTTAGTTTTGCTGAAAATAGACACAGCTTAATGCTTCTGCCTAGATTTTCAACAGTTCAATTTATTACCCAGAGCAGCACCTTAGATTAACAACTTACTTGTAATAAATTTAATACCACTTTATTTTGAAGCCTTCTATTCTTTTCTTGTTGCTATAAGATGATATGTATTTTGGCCAGATGATATACTGGAAACTGTTGCACTAAACAAATTCAGTAACCTCTATATGGGAGAGAGTCCCATGACTGAGAGTGCTGTTTTGGTAGCTGACAGGAAAGATCAAGCTGCTGCTTTGACAGTTAATTTTTATTGCTTTTCTTCCCTGTGCATTAAGCAGTCAAGGCACCATAGCCTGCCAGTAGCTGTTTAATATTAGATATGCTCATAAAAATTTTAATTATCACCTTTGAATGAAGCTTAATCTACAGTTGTCAGAAAATATGAAACACATGGCACTAGGACATAAATTATATCCCTCCTGACAATGTTTCCTTTCAAATATGGAAAACTGAGTTCTGCACATTTAGTCAAGGACAGTAGAATATTCTTTCTCCATCAAAACAAAACAAAAAGGAGTTAAAATGCAGGCTTGGTGAGGTTGACAGTCTTTTCTATGGCAACTAAAACCTGCAAACTAAATCAGGGGTTTGTGTATAAATGAGATATTTTGTACAACAAAAATGCAACAGTCAAAATGGAATAAGTATTTTTTAATGTACTGTCTTGGTACAGAAACCCATGTCATTGGTCTTGAGTGATATGGATTATAGAGAACCTGTACTTGTTTGCTTTATGAAAAATCAGCTTTGTAGATGTATATTTGCCTCTTTGCATAATTTGTTTTATGAATTGGTAGTTAAAGTGGTTCTCTGAGTTTGTCTTGACTGATTTTACAGTAGTACTTCTCTTAAAAGGCTCACAAAGACCTAACTTTCTTATCTCTGCCTGTCACACAACAATTATTGTTAGGGTTTGGGTTTTTTAGTGTGTTACTGGTGACCTCTGCAGGGAGGCTTCTGCAGGAGGGTAGGGCAGGTACGTGTCTTGATTCTGCCTTCATTTCTTCTTACCATTTATGATGGTGAAATGGAGGCCAGTAAGTACCTGGACTGCTTTTCCTGTTGTATTCTTGCTCTCAAAAATCTTTTAGGCAGAAATCTCATGATTTCATCATTAAGACACTTGTGTATCCCAGTGCCCTGTGTTTGCTTCAGTTTGGATTTAAACTCTGTAGGTTTAGATGCTGCCCAGCCTGCATCATCACTGTCCTTGCCATCTGTGGCAACAGGGACTACCTGCGTAGTTTGGAGGGGAGGGCACTGTCTTCACCTTAGATCTGAAATTAAGAGGAATGTGCCTGAAAAGATCAAACAGCCAGCTATCTCCAGTCATCTCTCACATCCAGAGAAGACTATTACTGCCAAGAGTGAAGAAAGTCATTTCACCAGTTATCAATCTGAGCAGGTGGACTACCTGTGATTCAGACAGCAAGTGGAAAGCAAGAAAGAAGATGCTACTGAATTCAGCATGGTGTGTACAACCAGGACCAGGTGTGTTGGTCAACCTACTAAGACCAGCAAGTTGCTGTTAGCAGGGTGGGCTTATCTCAGAAGACAAAACATTCACGTCTTTATCATTTTGGACAACTTATCAGAGGCAGGTGGGAGTAGAAGGCATTCCTGAGCCTGTGCTATGGCCTGTCCTTACTTGCTCAATTGGGTTTCCTTTGCACTGCAATATCATCTCAGATAACTTTATACTCCTAAATGGCTCCATGAAAAAAAGGACAAGAATGTGCTTCAGTTTCCACTGTCCTCAGAACATAGCGTAACACTGACAGACGGCAGTTCACTGTTTAACAAAACGGTGACTTTATCTAATGCTGCTTACTGGGTCTCACTGAAGATGCCATCTGGTCTGTCTGAGATCAGTTCATTTTTCAGCTGATGGTTAGTATAATGTAAGATGCTGCATCATTATCAGTCATGCTTTGACTGATCTGATAATGAAACCACAAGCACTCAGATTTTCTGACAGATGCCAATTATAAGTGTACTGGGGACTGCTTGACTGTATTTACTGAAGCCATTATTTAAGGAACCTTGGTCTGTCTCAGCTTGTTTTATGCAGATAAACACTTTAGATTTTAAAGCTACTGTGTAGTCAGTTTTCTGGATAACACAACAGCCAAGCCCTGCTGGATCAAGTTGGGTCTTCTTCTTGCCCACCTGATTTGAAGCCATTCAGCTCTGCAGTGCATGTCACTAGAATGAGATGCTACTGATAGCCTTTTTTCATCTAGGAGTGTGCAGCTAATCAGTAATTAGGCCTGGATGTTCCTTGCTTGGGTCCTTGTCCAGGGTTATATTCTTTCTACGTATATTCCCTATAATAGACATGCTTTACCAGATGGACAAATACAAACTACTAAGTATTGTTCCAGGTGATCTCAGAATCCAAGGCTGTTCCCAGACAGTTTCCTTATGCAATAAAGCAGTGGATTCACTTTCTACCACTGTTCCCAGAAGGGGAAATTTCCAAGATCAAGAAATTAAGCTACAGTCATCTTGATAGATGCAAAAGGCAGTTGGGGCTGGATGAGAAGTACAGATACCCTTTCACACTGCCTGGGTCTGAGCTTTCTGCCTCAGCCACCTACCTGCTAGAACACCACAGAGCACCATGGGCAGGGGCCTCTTGACACACCAGAGGGCCTTGCTGCAGGAAGCAGAGCACACTTTTCTTGAAAATGGAAATGGTTTCAATATATTCAGATCAGAAATTCTTGAACCCTATCCAGACCTTAATTTTTGAACATCTCTTCTACCCACTGCACTTCAAACAAGCTGGGAATTTTTGGTGAGGATTTTAATAAAGGTAGCACTCAAGATGATGTTGTTTGATGTTTCTGATACTTTTTGACATTTTTCTCTGAAAATTCTCATCTGCTCATTCATTTAGACTGAGTAGTTTTCAAGGGCAGAACCTGCATCCATTAATGGAGCAAGTTGTATACTTCTGCTGTAATTTATTCTTAGGCAACCTTAGTGTCCTACCTAAGGCATTATGCTTGCTTACCTGTGGTTTGTTTTGAGTAATGGAAGATAAATGGGAGCTACTAAATATGAATTAATTGTGTAAAAACTGCTCTATTATTATATTACATTTATACTGCAAGTGTAAGTACTACTTAGCTTTTCCTTATTTACCATTGAAGCTTCATATTTTAGTGGCTCATGATGTAATTCTTTAATAACCTTTCCTCAAAGATATACAGAGCAGTCTGGAAAATGCTTCTGCTTGTTGATCACCAGTTTGGTGTACCCCTTCTTTGAAGTATGAAGGCTTGCTCCATCCAGCCCCAGGCAATGTTTTCCATTCCCCTCTGACCTAATGATATGCAAGTCATTAATAGAGGAATAATCCACTGACTTTAGTCAAATGTTGTCTTAAACTTGTGTGATTCACCTAATGCTGAGTTTGTATTGAGCTAATGTAGTTCTTGCTTTTCAGCTGCTTGCAGTAGATTTCTATAGGTATAACATACATGAACAGCTTTTATTTATCCTTGGAGTAACTGCTTCTTAAGCAAGTCAGTGTGTGACTCTTAAACCTGTCCATTGTTTTGCATTAATGTGCTGCCATGGTTTGCATTCTGATGGAGTGCAAGATGAATACAGCTTCTTTCTCAGGAGGCACCAGGGTATACACAGAGCCTCAGGCAACAGTGCCATTAAAAGGCAGTATTTTCATATGTTTGCATAGAAAAGGTCACAGGGTCAGCATTCAGAACTGTGGTTGTTGCATTATGTGCAACTGTTCTGTCTTTAATTATCAATATCAAAAAGTTACCGAACTGTCTAATGCTAATTCATTTTGTGCTAAAGAGTTAAGAGTAGTGAATATCTTGGTAAACACTTGAAATTTTCCTGTTTTGGAAGATAAACTATGTTGCCTTCAAGGAATAGCAAAAATAGAGCTATATAAGTATACTAGCAAAAAAAAGATGATTCATGGTAAATTTTTAGGGAGGTTGTTCCATTGGGAAGAGCTGGAACACTGGCTTGACTTTGCTGCATTGTGCATAAACTTGGTTTCTTCATGTAAGTAGGGCCATTGTGCTTCTAAATAGTGTAATCTTTGCAAACCAGTGGTCACTGTTTACTAGTTCAGTCTATGTTCTTAATAACCTAGTTGATGCACAGTGGAAAAAATTGAACCCAAAATTTTGATTGGTGACATTCTGACATGGCTTTGTAATTCTTGTTTGGGTCTTTTTGAGACTGGATTAAAAATTTTGCACCTAACAGTTGTAATCTTGTGTGCAACTGCCTAGCTGCTAGATGTTAATTCCCAGGGATAGCACTCTGCAAAAGTGTAAGAGACACTGATGACATTTTCTGTTATGAAGTACCATGAAGGTTTTCCATTTATTTCCTGTGCAGTGTATTGAGTATAATGATTAGATGGAAACAGTAAAACAGTGTAATGGTTCTGTTCTCTCAACTGATTCATGAAAATATGCTTAATAATGTTTATTAGAAAGTATCTCAGGAAAAATATGCTTCCATTTGATAAACTAGGTATATGTTGACTAATGCTTCATAGTAGGAGTATAAGTTTACAGCAATAACTACTAAGGACTAATATTGGTTGGTTATCTTTTTTTGTTGTCTTATATGTGTTTTTTTAAATAACAACTTCAATTGTTTTGCTTACAGGTGGCAGTGTGCTGTATTTGTTTCTTTGTCATCCTTCCACTGAACCTGGTTGGTACAATTCTTGGCCGAAATCTGTCAGGACAGCCTAATTTTCCATGTCGTGTCAATGCAGTGCCTCGTCCCATACCAGAGAAGAAATGGTAAAGATGAGCATGAATGTTAACTAGAATTAATCACTTCTGTACATTTAAAATAACTTCCTCAGTTTTTCTGAAATAACTTTTTATTTAAATTGAGTTGTGTCTAAAAGAACAGCTCAGCTGATGTTTCCTTAATATGATGTTTCTCCCGAGTTAAAACACCATGGTTAATAGTTGTAGCAGACTTTACACTCCTGGATCACTGAATCACATTTTGCCTGAAATGTTTTTTAGTCCCTGTATAAAGGGGATGGAGCCAATGCAGTTCTTGTCTAGGTATCTTGAAACTAAAACCTCTCCTCTTTAGTAATGCCTCTTAGAGGTTTAGGATTGAGTGTGCCTTGGAGGCAGAACTGTTCTGATTAATGGTCTCAGTGTACAAGCTGAGACATATTTGCAGAGTGATGGTGGGAGAAGCTTGCAATGCTGTTCCCAATTCTGCACTTTTTTTGATGGCACAGAGCCTAAAATATTACAGGTATATGGTTTGAATTGTGAAGAAGCCTTCACTATTTTTGAAGTGAATGTAAAGGGGTGCCTAGTCTCAAAAAGTACACTTAAGTTTTTGGAAAATTATGAATGCAGTCACTTTTTCCTATTAATTTCATTCTGAAGCGGAAGCAGCAAGCTGTGGAAATTAAAATATCCTCAAAGGATTTTTTAAATAGATTTTTCTTGCTTTCTCTGTTCAGAGGAATGGAACAGACAAAGTGAAGGGGGCACTGAAACATGTACGCCTGTGATGTCCAGGAAGTGCAGCACACTAAGTCTCTTTTTAGTGATGACTTGTGCAGCTCAGATGCTAGGAAGTGATTTATATTGTGACCTGTATCTTGGGAATCTGATGGATTTTTCTGGATCAGCATGACAGATAAAAAGAAATAAGATACTTCTCTTGAAGATGATGAAATAGCACACCATCAACTTAGACAACTCTCCCTATAAATAATAAAAGAAGCTGCAAATTAAATCACTGGTTAGTAGTGAGATTCAGCATCATCGCAAGTACTACACAGAGGTCACCTTTAGTAAGTGACAGTATCATCTACAGGTAGCTGAGCATTCATTTTTAGCCATATGTTCATGACTCAGTATGGCATTAAAAATAAACTCTGGTTCTTAATTATATAACGATTATCCTGCAAAATTTTCTTTGTACTGTTTGCTGTGTTTGTAGCCATCAACAGCACTGAGTTTTCACTGCCTTCATTCAAGGCTAGTGGAAGTCATGAGGTTTGATTGCTTAATCCCCTTCTGGGCAAGAGAGATTCTTTTTGTGGCTTTGAGGCTGGTTAGATGGTTAACCTTATTGCCTGCAGGTGATAGGTATGAGTGTTATGTTCCTGAGAATAACTCCTTCTTTTATCCCTACCCATGACATTTTTGAGGGAATCTTCATTCTAATATGCTGGTATGAGACAGAAATGTTCTTCATGCCTTTTAAATAATGCCCTGTGCTATATTAATTATCTGGTCTTAATATGTTTATAAATGAAAAATTAAAATTGTCCCTAACCTAATCCTAATATCTTTCAGGTTCATGGAACCAGCTGTTATTGTTTGCCTGGGTGGAATCCTCCCTTTTGGATCAATTTTTATTGAAATGTGAGTATATCAGCTACTTGACAGCTTGATTAAACATTATAATAATTTAAGTTTAATTACAATATCATCTGCATATTTTGTTTACTTTCTGCAGGTATTTCATTTTTACTTCATTCTGGGCTTACAAGATCTACTACGTTTATGGCTTTATGATGTTGGTTCTGGTTATCCTCTGCATTGTGACAGTTTGTGTGACTATCGTTTGTACATATTTCCTGCTAAACGCAGAGGATTACAGGTGGTAAGTATTGCATAATTTGCATAGTGAACCAGATTGTGAGATTTTTGTAGAAAAGTAATGTTTCTTCAGTCTAGATGGGTCTTTTCCAAGTGCCTTGTACATCTTCTTGGGAATCCTTTTGGCTGGATGCATGATGGACATGTGTGTTTACTTCTAGGCAATGGACGAGCTTTCTTTCTGCGGCATCAACTGCGATTTATGTTTACATGTACTCCTTTTACTACTACTTTTTCAAGACAAAGTAAGTGGTAGTTACTGTAGTGCCAAGTAAGTTTATTGAAAAAAACCTGAGGAAAATACCTAACATAAATTCCTGTCTTTCTTTTTCAGGATGTATGGCTTGTTTCAGACATCATTTTACTTTGGTTATATGGCAGTATTTAGCACAGCTTTGGGAATAATGTGTGGTAAGTTTCAGATATTTTGACATTTTTTTAACAGAATTTTTCAGACCGTCATATTTCTGAATTTAGCTTATGGTTTTGGTGGTGGAATGTGTGTGTCTGCAAGGTCTGCTCAAAAAGCATAGAATCTTTAAGAAGAATCTGAAGAGTTCTCTGCTTATGCTTTGTTCCTACCTAATATAAAAGATTTCTGTGGATTGTGTCTTCTGGCAGAAAGATAATTTATGCACTGTGCAGAGAATTTCACCCTCAATGCAAGCTTGAAAGACTCAATATTTGGCCAGAAATTCTGCAAAATAAATTCCAAATTAAGTTGAGTCCACACTAGCATTTTGCGTCGCAGTTTTTACTGTTGCCCCAAGACAAGGAGCTGGGTACATCCATTGAGGCACAAATGGTAGCACAATACTGATGACAGTACTGTCTGTATCTTGTGGCATGTGTATATGAGGGTGACCAGAGCAGAAAGGGCTGAAACTTCAGTTCAACATTTGACAAATAAGTATTGAAATATTCACAGGTGAGGAGAGTGCAGAGTGCACCCGTGTGCAGCTGGATTTCATTGCTTTTTTAAGATACTGTTTTGACAATGTTTAGAGAGAAACATAGTTCATGGCATGGAGGTCATCTGATAAAGTCAAATAAACTTGTTCACCTGTTAACTTTATTTTTATCCTCTTATTTATGACTTCCAGAAAGTACTTCTTGGTTCTTTTGCACTTTTCTATGATGTTATTTGCTTTTTATGTTTGATCTTTATTTAATGCTTCTTAGCAGTGAATGAATAGTCCTGTAACTAATGGGAGGATTTCTTTTAGTTTATATGAGACACATGATATCTTACAGGAACTTAATTCTGTAAAGTATAGATTTCTTGATATCTCAAGAGGGTGGGTAATATCACAATTACCCACCCTTATAAAAAGGGGAGGGAATTAATCTCTTAACTGTTGAGTACCTGTTCCCCTTTTCTCTCATACAGTCTAATCTTGCTTCATCAGGTTCTTGGCACATTACAAGACTTCCCTGCTGTTTTGGTAGTCTTGCAGCCATTTTTTTTCTTTAATAGGCTTATACTTTTCAGCTCTAATCTTTTCTTTTTAAAGTGCTCAGGCTGGTATTGATTAAAATGTGTATGATGCAGAAGCCAAGCTTGCCCACCGGTTTCTGTAATTAAAATGTTTTTTAAAACATGGAAAAGGAAGATTGTCAAATGCTTTCTACTCATAGTAGGACACTATTTGATGGAATATTAGAGTAAAATCCAAATTTATTCAAAAACAGAAAATACTTTAGCACACTAAACTTTATTTCCACAGCACTATTGAGATTTCTTTTTGTCTTTTTAAGTGTGTTGGAAGAGAAGCTGTGAGATTCCTTTTTACTGAGAACTCCTATTTTCAGCATGTGGAGTGAAGAAAAAAAATCCCCTGTCAAAAAGCATTTGTCTAGGGAACTTGCAGCCATTGAGGTCTAACAAAGACATTTGTGTTAAGGAATTGTGCAGTGTGCGTGCTCCTGACTGTACGTGTCCTGTGAAAAGTGTGTGGAGCTGTTCTGTGGGGGCTCACGCGAATGGGCGCGTTCGCTATCACACAGTTGGGTACGAGACCAACTCGTTAGGGCCCAAAGCAGCAGCAGGGAAACACTCTGTAGGCATGTATCATCCAACTCTGGTTTTAATGCCCTTGACAATGCCTAGTGAACTCAAACCCCACATGTAGTGGGATGCTTTGATCCACAAAGTTGGCTGCTCTCTGCAGAGCATCTCAGTTCTGGGGCTGGACAGTAGGGAGCCCATGAGAACTTCCAAACCTTTTGAGCTCCTCATGTTTCCCTTTCCTCTTAGTGACAGAAAAGAATAAAACTTATTCCCCAACTTAGTGGATGGCTTAGGAGCTACGTAGTGTAGAAAGGCCTCTTGCAATACCACACTTCAGCATCCAGATAAATACTGTAGGTATGCCTGAAGGGCTTTTAAAAAAATTCTCTGCTTACAAAGTCACAACTGTAGTAAGCGTTAATTGGTTTGAAGTAATAGATGTAAATTAATCTTTTTTTGTTTTGTAGTTGCTCTTCCTAAATATTTGGATATTTTTCTTTATTTAAAAGCTTGTTCTGCTGAAATATGATTGCAGTCTATTTCCACTAAACCTATATAGGCCATAACCAAGTTATAAATATCATCTGGTAAGGTGTTTAATACATAAATAAAATATTTCTCTTTACTGTGTTTTTTTTATTCAGATGAGCCAGCTGCCCTGCATTTGATTCAGGAGGACATTCTTTAGTCCTCATTGCCTAGGCTTTCCGCCTCCCTGCCCCATGCTTTATTCAATGCCTGTGAAGTAGCCTTGAGGCTTAACCCCTGCCTTGGGTATTGGCCACTAGTGGCCTTCATGGATAAGGCTCCTGTGATTCAGAATAGGTTATGATTTGTTTATGGGGATGTTTGTGGTCTCATGTGACTGCTACTCTCTACTCATCCCTCTCACTTCCATCTCATCCATTCTCTAGATCCCAAGTGAAACACAATTAATGCTTTGCTCTCTCAAGTCTCTGTGATACCTGGCATCACATCACTAGAGGAACTCTCAAAGAACAAGTTCTGGAATGTATCTGAGTTTAGCAACTAAAATGGGCATTGGGTCTGTTGTCAGTCTGTCTGTTGTCCTTTAACAGGAAAAAACATCATGAGTGTTAAAACAAGAGTCCAGTGCCATTATTTTCTCTGTTTACTGCATAAGACAGATTAATTTCCTGACAAGCTACAGAAGAATCTGCATGTTCCTCTGTATGATTCCAAGCTCACATCACCTCTCTTCACAGCCTGCATTTGGGTCTGTCCAAATGCTGTAGTGGTCTCTCCTTGAAAGGGCAGGCTTTCAAGCAACATCCTGATCTTGTGTATGCTGTATTTGTTTTAATTGAACCCTACTTTGCCCAAATTAGTAATGCAGATCTGTCATTTGCTGGCCACCTGAATGGTTGCCATGATATTTATACACCTTGAAATGCTATGCAGTACAGAAGCTGACTCCACAGGGTCTTTACCACTCCAAAAACATTGAAATGATGCATCAGGTCTGCCTTGTGCAGATTTCCTGATTAGGTCTGAATTTTGGGCTTTTGGGGGTCTAAAAATCAAAATCTTGTGACTTCATAAATTAACACATCATCCCCAGGATTTAAAGAACTCTTCCAAGATCTGAATAACTCCTTAGACAGCAATGCTAGCTGCAGGTCTGTATGGCCATAATTTATAAAAGCAGAAAACCCCCTTTATATTTGTACTGAAAAATGAAGGTTTGGCAGAAAACTTCTAGCATTGGTTAGACTTTTGTATTTAACATGTCTTCTGCAATTCTGATGCATCCTAGTTCACTGCAAATGTTTCATCCTTTGCTCTGTATTGCTTCAAGGAAGGAAAAATATCTTTTCTCTGTTCTTTACCAAGCATCCAGGCATTTAATGATTTAATGTTAGGTGTTCTCTGTAGTCAGTTACAGATCCTGACTTCTCTATCCTTCCCATATTTTATGACTGTGCTGGCAGTCTGACAGCAGTAGTCTAATTCTTGCTTGATTTTCAACTTCATTTCAAACATGATAGTTAGCCAAACTGACTTACTCTCGTTTTGGTTGGAAGAGATGAAGACATTCCCTGTGGATATTATAAGATCACAGTACTTACTGAGCCTGGCAAACCTGGGGTTCTGGGTTTGACCAGGTAAGTTGCTGAATCTCTTTCTGAGAAGAGGTCTTGGTCCAGTGCATGTCTTTCATTTTTCTGGATGTCCTTCGTACTGCAGTATTTTGGGTTTAGCATAAACTGTTGCCCCTATCAAAAACCCAGTGACCTGTTCTTTTATTACTGCTGTGACAATGCATACTCTGCTCATGACTCTTACTAATTTGAAAACCACAGGTTGCAATTTCCTTTAACTACTAACTGCTACTTGTTTAATCTCTTTGTACAGACCTCCTTGGAGTGTAAGACTCCTGGGATGGGGATCTATTATTATTTGTGCCTTGTGGGAGGGAAAAAGCCATCTGCCAATAAAACACTCATCCAGAAGGCATGTAACTTATAATAAAAACCTGCCCTCCCATCCACCTTCCCTGCAGAGTGGGTGATTGTATGTTTTTTACCCTCTGTTCAGAAAAAATGGACCCGGTTATTGGCAGCAGTAGGGGGGCTGCTATATTTATCGAGGCCAAGTGAGCATGGCCTCTTGGTAAGATGGCTTAATGGATTTAGATTGCTAGACTAGGGAAGTTCTTGCCAGACGTTCAGGGGGCGCATGGATAATTGGAGTTTGAGAACAAGTACTGCAGGTAGATAATTTTCTGTGTTCAGAGTGCATGCTTTATGTGACTTTCTCTGTTTAAGTGTGTGTGGTTTATATTGCTGTTTTACTTTGATCAGCTCTCTAACATATTCAATGTTTTTGGTTTGTTTTGCAGGAGCTATTGGTTACATGGGAACAAGTGCCTTTGTTCGTAAAATCTACACTAATGTGAAAATTGACTAAGGAAATAAGAAAATTGAACTATGGATCAGTTCCTCTTTTCCTGGGGATGAACTTGCACAGCAAAAAGCGCGAGAAGAGATTTGGGTTTTAACACTGGGCACTATATGGGTCTCCATTTTGTGGATGGCTTAAAGTAACATCTATTCCATTGATCCTAGGTTCTTACTGACTGCTTTCTCCAACTGTTCACAGCAAATGCTTGGATTATATGCAGTAGGCATTACTACAGTACGTGGCTAATCTTCCCCGCCCGCCCCCCCCCCAAAAAAAAATCCAACATCAAAAAACAAAAAACCTAGCTCATTAAAGATGAATAGACTAGCTCTCTTCAGTGAAGAGGACAAACGGTTTATTTAAAGCATTTGTTCCATTCAATAAAAAGAGGGAAACTTGGCTGCTAAAACTACTTGATTAGTAGTCTTCCTGGTACTTAACATTTCTAAATTATGTAAAAATACTGTTCCAGAAAGATTACTCTTCTGATTTTTACTGCCATTGACAGGATAGGAGGAATGTTTTATATTTTGACTCCAGGTGCTTTTTGGTTTATTTGCAATATCAACTACCCTACATTCATTTGTTTAAAAAAAAAATTAAAAATATATAAAAAACCCATATGCATGTAATATATCAGCTGTTGTTCTAGTTGGACCAACTTCCCTTTATTTATCTTTAAAGTAATATCCAGCTACATCTTAAATCCATCCAAAGAAAATACAGTCTGAAGACGGAGTGTGATCTCTGCAATGCAATTTACTGTACAGTTAGAAAGCAAAATGTTAAATGAAGAGGATTGTTTGTTTTTTAATGAACACTCTAAGGTCTAGATTAAAACAAAACCAACATTTTAACTGAATGTCTAAAGTGATTCTCCTTTTTTCCAAGTTAGTCTTGCATTTTTTTTGGGTTTGGGTTGAATGAAGATTTTCCTTTAGACATCATACAAGGGGTAATAAGTGTATATAACATTAAATAATGTAACTTAGGTGTAGATCCCAAATGTATTTGGATGTACAGATTTACTACAGAGTACTTTTCTGATGATTCGGTGTAAAAATGTGTGAATTCGGGTGGCTTTTTACATCTTGCCTGCCATTGCATGAAAATTTGGGGTTTCTTCACAATGTGTGTATGTCATGCTTTTCTGTTCTATTTCTTTTCTCAAGCTCTTACAGGAATTAAATTTGTAATTTAGAACATTTTAATTTTTGTTAATCCTATCTGAACACTTGTGTAACATCAAAAGCACAGTTGCTTTAGAGTGTTCAGAAAACTAAAATAAACTTTTCAGACAAAAATGTATTGATTGTGAAAATAGATGAGTTTGCAATTGAAAATGTTTGAAAAGGGATTACTGCTGAACGCCAGTTTCTGTATACAGTATAAGTGTGGTTTTCATCTATCCAACCCCCATGCTTTGAATTCAGAATTTGCTTACAACTATATTGTACAATATAACTCCAAAGTGAATGATCAACCCAAAAAGATTCTTCTTGGCTGTGGAGAAATCTGTTTTGTGATACAGCCAGTGTACTGGGAAAAGTTGGGGTAAGCGTGGACTAAAATAAATGGGCAAATAAAGGTTAAGTCTTTTTAAGATCACTGTTAATTATGCACTGTATTTAGCTAGAAATATCCTGAATGTGTTTGTGACAGATTTGAGAGCCACTTGGCTTGATTTTTTTAATGGGGTTTTTTTAGGCATCTGCCATGTAGGGATGTTTTGATCAGTGTGGCTGTCTGAAATAGAACACCTGCCATGGAGAAGGCAACTTCTTGAATTTAAAAAATGAGCCAAGTATTTGTATTGACTAGCACTGTATTGTCTCTATATAAAAAGTACTGATAATGCAGTAGCCACAATGAGAAACATCCGTGTTTTGGCAGCGTTGGGTTGGAGCCTGGGGGAACTCTACAGGTAGGTAATAGTGGGAAGCAGTGCATCCTGCTGCATATCTGAAAAGTGTTTGAGCTTTCAGCTCTGATTTCCCTGGCCAATTTTAACCAGTCTGTCAGAAAATAATTAAGTTTTGCTTCAAGTGAATCATTGGTATCTGTAGGTGAACACTCTGCCATTGAATAAAATAATTTTTTTTATTTTTAAAGTACAGGCTGATTTTAAGATGAGCTTATAAACTGGGTCAATAGTTAGTTTTCCTTTGTTCCAAAACATGGAGACTTAAAACAAAGTCTGGATATTGTACTAGTAGTTCTAGTGCATACAGCTATGGGAAGCCCTCTTTTCATCCATATTCCTCTAAATCTGAAGTGAGAAGCCATTATCTCCACACAATATATACATTAAGTACTCTGCCAAGTTACAAGGTTTTTTAAAGGGAATATTTTGATAATGAGTCCGTTTCTCTATTTAGAACACTGCTATGTGATTAGTCTATCAGAAATGTCACTAAACTCTTTGTGAATTTCATTTAATCACTTTTTAATGCCACAGAATGGTGGGCTGCCTACTTGCTTTCTCTGTCCTCTGGCATTATTAGCTTTCGCATATCCAGATAGGATTGTATATCTTTTAAAGTGACATTGAAAAGATAGATACTGCACAGGCATTGCTTTCATTTCTGCAAGCAAGTTCCTCCAAAGAAGTACTGTGTTTAAATAAATGACATTTTTATACATCCACCCGAGCACATAAGTTGGGGGTTTGCTTTGTTTTTCCCCTTTTGGTTTCTGAAGGAGAGCAAAATGTGACCAGTTTTCAACAGCTTGTCTTTATGGTTGCTGTTTGGGGGAAGGTTATTTGTCCTCCCCCTCTCCTCCCTCCTATCCCTCCTCCCCCAAAAAAACCCGTGGGTGTAGCTTAAACCACCTTGCTTAATAGAATTTGGAAGCTCTCTGCTTAGATGATGTAGTCCTTCTTTTATGGAAGAAATAAAGTTCTTACAGACAACACTCCTCTTAACATGGTTGCTTCCTAGGAGTTTCTGGTTCTTGAATTCAGGCTTTTTGATAACTCTTCAATTGGCCGGTCGGTGCTTCTCTTCCCACTGCTGGTACAGAGGCCAGGGAATTGAGTAAATAGTTGCATAAGCAATAGCCAATCTTGACCAAATGTTTTAGGTAAGTACAATTGTAAATCTTTTCAGTTGAGGCAGAGTGCATATAGAAAACACCTCTAGTATTTTGTGTATGAAAATTGGTGAAAGCTGGACTGGAGGTAATGGAGACTGCAAATAAACATTACATTATGCTCTCTCTGATGTCTGAATGTTGTGAAGCAACAGTGTCTATTAATTCCTCTTCAGAATTACATTCGAAATTGTGTACAGGGCACACAAATTGTTTTCTGTAGGATAGTCTTAGGTGTATTTCTTTAACAAGTTTCAGGATAAAAAACAAACCCCAAACCCTATTATTTTTACTCTTTTGTACTAAAACCGGGTAAAATTGATAGCACATTCTTATCAGTGTCATTACTGCAGAGCTAACACAAAGGAGAAAGTTACATTTTGCTCTGGCTTCAGCATCACCAGCATCTAGCCAAATTTGCCAATGAAGTATATATACACAGCCTCACTGAAGACAGCAAAATTCTGTAATTGTGCATGCATCAGCAGTTTTTCCACTGGAATGGGTCCAGGAAGCGTCAGCTCAAGAAAAGACAAGTCTCCTCTCCAGTCTGTGCACAAGCAAACTGAATATTTGGAGCTGGAGTAGAGGGGTCCTGTTGTCTTGAATGCATTCTTAACTGTGCAGGTTGTGGTTCATTTTAAGTCTGTTGGAACTGTAGATTGAAAAAGAATTCCAGTTTTGGATCCCTTCGCTCTTTCCTAGCTAAATGCACTATGGTAGAGCAGCCTTGCAATAGTTGTTGGCACTGCTGCTGTCTAAATTAAGTATCTGTTTACCAGGGTTAGCCATGAAGTCATGAAAGCCCCTGCTGTTGGACTTCTGTTGGAATAAAGCCACACTTGAAAGTTTTGAAGCAATCTGTTTATGGCTTGCATTCTTCAGGAGTATCATACCACAGGAGGGAAAAAGAAGTTTTGGTGCAATTTGTTTTCCAAAGCCTCTCAAGGAAACATTTCCATTTTGCTAAGTGGCTTCAGTGAGAAAATTCTCATAACTTGCAGAGGAGACATCTGGATGTGAGTTCTACAAGTAGTTCCTCACAGCTTGTGCTTTTCTCTGGTAGATGCTTTTTCAGTTCAGAGAAGGGACTGTTACAGTATTTATTTTCATTATTAGTTTGGTGCTTCTGAAATTTTTCCTCCAATTTTTGGGTTATGGCTTGGGGGGGGGCAGTGTGGAATTGTAAAGATGATGAGAGAACCCATGAAGCTGGAAGGCTTTGTGCAGTTCCAGGAAATTCAAGCAGTTTTTGGAGAGAATCACTTTAAAGGGCAGAAATTCAGTTGGGAAAAGGATAAGAAAAAGGCTTTTTTATCTAGTGGACTAACCTACCTTGAAGGCAGGCCTGGAGACAAATTTGCTGTCACAGTGTCATTGCCCCCAGTCCTGTACCAGTTATTTTATTTTCATCAGTGTACCTGCTAAGGTGCAAGGCTTTTGCAATAAACCAAGGACTCATGGGCCATGAACAAGGGGGATCTTATTAGCTGCTACCAACTTCTTTGGCTTGTTGATACATTAATTTTATCACCAGCTCCTAGTAATGCAATACAGAACAATATATCAAATCTCTGGAGGTTCTAGCATGCTGAGGCTTCTTTTCTGATGAAAACCAAACCCATTGGAACTTTTCTTATATTCTAGATAGAAGATCTCCTTCAGAATCGGGCTTGGAGCATTCCAAAACATAACTATACAAGCTCATGCTTATCCTTCAGCTGGCATTATGTGACTACACAGTCCAGAAAATACATGCATTTTTAGAATTGGGAGTTTATGTACAATTACAGATCTGTGATTTTAGGGTTCTCCTAGTATTGTGAGGCATGCCTACCCATATCTTACCTGGATAGATTCCAATTCACCAAAGCCTAGACCTAAACCCTATAAACTGGAAATGCTGGATCTGGAGAAAAAAAAGTCCAGTCTCTCGCAGTTCTGTTTAACAAGCTGACTGACCTAGAAAAACATGCTACAGTTAGATACCACATGTATATGTAAATATTTTTTTCCTGAAGACTGTGTGTCACAGGCATTTATTTGGTTTCTGAAATGTTTTGAGATTAGTAGTAACTAACTCCTGAGAAGCTTTCAAACAGGGCAGAGAACATCATGAGAACATTACGCAATACTGAACCCAAGGAAGTTTTTGTGGATGCTCATTCTCATTTCCCAAAGGTTTGTATCAGGAATGTCAGAATGTGGGATATATTAAAGCACTAGGCAAGGCACAGTGCTTTTCTAGTGCTTTCACTAGTGCTACTAGAGATGTAATTCTCCTTTTGATTTCATTTTATGTCGTTTTCTCATTCTGAATCACTAGTCTTATCATTTGATTGGGCTCAGAAAAGTGGGTTATGTAATTAGCTTAGTGTGAGGCTTTTCTTGCTCTGCTACAGAGGAGTAACTGCAAGAATGGATGGAAATTTTCTCTTCGTTTCCTTATAATGTCGGGCCAGAAGTTGGCAGGTGAATAATGAGCATGACCTACTGTTTGTTTTACAAAGAGATGTGACAGTTCTTCAGCCAGGCACCATTAACCTGCAAGAGTTGGAGACCTGTGTAATAAAATGTTGAAGAGATGCCATTAAGTTACTTAAGTTCTGCATTCAGATTCTGCAGAATCATTTCTTGTAATTTGAAATCATTTAGCTGAAAGTTGATTTTTGTTGAGAATATTTTTCTATTTATTTCACTATTAGAAAGTGATCAAACACCCACCTTTACCTGAAGTTGAAATTACAATATTTTTTAATTATATGTTTAGTGAAATAAATAATGAAAAAGGAAATCACCATTCCTTGTTTTAGTGATCTGAAGAGTGACTTGTAAGATGAACCTATTTTGAAGTATTGCTTACCCAACAAGAGGAAATACTTGCATGTTCTGTGCCACAGCCAGGTGTGTGGTTTGGATGAAGATGTTACTATAGATAAATCTATGTACAAAAATCCTGTGCAGAAACTGTAATTAGGAAAATTCTCTAAGGCAATTCTTCATGAAGCAACATCTTTTCTGAGAGATTCATTAAATTCTACCCACTTGTGAAACAGCCTAAACACAGGTAGCATATGTTACCAGCCTCTGTAAAGGATGCCTGCCTGTGAACAGGGAAATGCAGCTATTCCATCTTTGTCTCATAGCAGAGGACTGGAGAAATGTTTATACTTTACCAGATTTATTCCTCCACATAAAGAGAAAAAAATAAGACAGAATTTTTCCTATGGCAAAAAATACTTTGAAAAAACCAGTGGATTCACCTTTTGAAATTTTGAACTGGCAGATGCTTTTCCAAAGATGTTCCCATGCCCTCCTGCTTGACCTTGCTGCAGTGATCACCAAAACCACCAGCTTTGCTCAATGCTTTCCAAGCACAACTGACTCCTGTATGAACCCTGAAAATGGATTTTAAGTGAAGTAATGAAACATCAGTTTGACATGCCTCATTTTGGGAACCAGTGGTCAAACCAAAATTCATGTTTCCAGACAAGACAGATTTCTCTCCCTGCCTTCCACAGCTTGTGCCTGTACAGCTCAAAATTACCCCAGAAGTATCTTGGTTTTTCTCACATAATTGAAAGATGGCAGTAATGATGGGAAAAATACTTGGTGCTTTTTTATATATGGGATTACTTAAAATCCTGCCTGCTGCTACTTTGTTGAACAAAAAGGAATTTTCCAGCCATGGCTTACTTACTCCTAGTTTCCTTAAGTGTCACTGCCTGTTTATGACAGGACTGTGTTAAATGTATGTTGAGCTTTTTAAGCACAGGTGAATGTGCCTGTGACTGCAGTGAGTTCTCAGTGGTTTTCAGAACCTCTGGAACTCATTTAAGCACATATGTGTCAGCACCTTTAAAGATTCCTTTTGGATAGCAAATCATTTACCCTTATGGCAGGTATTTCCTGGGTGACAATGCAATAAACTTGATAAAAAATTACCCCCAACCTATTGCAGGAGAGACTAAAAGGGGTGATGGAAAGAAGAGAGAGCAGGGATCGATATTCATTTTAT